AGGAATGCCAATGTCTACTTTGATCTTGTATGAAGCAGAAGAGATGTATTTCATTTGTTAAGAAAGGCAGGAAATTTTCAGTTGTATGGTAAGTTATAGTATTTTTAGGAACTGCAAGTGCTTACTTTAAGTGATGTAGTATTAAAAATATTCATTTTTTTTTTTACAGGAACTGAATTTCAAACATGTTAGTAGAGGATAAAGAGGTGGTTTTTTGCACCTTCTACTGCTTTTCCAGATAACTGCAGATTTGAAAAGGGCATGAAAGAAATCTGAGCCTTATTCAGCTTCCCTCTCCTCTGCCTGAGACTTTCTTCTTCCATTTTCACTCTCGTTTCTGCCATCAAATACAACTCAGTTTCTGGGACTGCATCCTTTATGAGAGCATGATCTTCCTGTAATTATCCTTACAATTTCTTGTTAAGCTCGGCTTTACTCCATATTTTCCATTATTCTTGTCCATTCAGACTCTGCTTTCTTTAGATTCCCATTTCTGGATCCTTTCCTCCTGCCCTTGGAGAGGTTGTACCACAGTAAGCTTCTTTTGCCTTGCTTCTTCTTATGGATCTTCAGATTACAATGAAGTGTAGTGGCAATTTAATAGCTTATGCTCTTTGGGAGCTATGTATCTGCAGGAAATAAACCCAATAATTAGGCTTCTTTGTCATCAGTAGTCACTTTCTCCTTATCCTGATTCTTCCATCTGGGCTGCTATGCTGAACTATGGTTCTGCTGCTCTCACGCTGCTCTCCGCTTCTTTCTTTAGTGTAGGTGTTTGCCCCTTTTGGTCTTTGTGGTTGATATCAATGGAAGGATGGAAAGTGTCATGTTTAAGCTGGGGGCACTTCTACACAACACTATTTTCACAAAGCTGAAACAGGTGGATGATTTCCATTGGCACAGAATGGGGACTCTGAGCCAGAATGGAAAAATGCAGTAAGACTTCACACCAGAGCAGAGGTGGAGTGAACAAAGAGTCAGAAACGCATCCTTACACTGGAGAGGAGAACTGCCATGCCCAGTCATTAAATGCATCATCATAATTAGGCAGGAGCTGTCATTTATGTATTTCAAGCAGGCTGCTGAGTCCCTTTCAGTAGGAGAAGGCTGCTTTTCAGGCTAGGACTCTCAGCACAGCATGGGGGAAGCTGGAGGATGGTTGAGGAGGTGCAAGTCAGAGAAAAGCAAGTTTGAAGTGAAGCCAAATTATTATGCACTTTGCAAGCATGCCATGACTTGGGGGACCAATGGAAGGATGCTGGTGAAGAATATTAATTCTTACAGATTTGGAATTTAGAGTCTGTGAAGAAGCTATGAAAATGTTGACATGAACCAGCCATGAAAACTACCCACAGCAGTCTGATGTGCATTAGATTTTTTTCTGTGACAAATACCTTTTCTTCTTTGGCAGTCAAGGGTTTTATGCATCTTAAATGTCATTGTCAGATAGTCCTAATGTTAATTTTCTGTTTGCTTGTGAGTTATTTCCTCCAGTTTCATGGGTTTATAACCCTTTCTCATTTCAGTACAGGCACTATAACGAATGCAACCTCCTGTTTAAGGAAGTTCTACTCACTGTAACTAGGAATGCAGATTCAAGACCTTTTGTCTGGATTGTGATCTTCACTTTATTGATCTTAGAATTAATGGGAGAGTTAATCTCCAAAGACAATAAAACATTTTTATTTTACAGGATAATAACAGTGCTCAGAGTATGTAATAACTGATTTCTGTACTTTTATGTCATCAAATGTACTGTACAACCACAAACCTTCCCATTCTTCTTAAAATCTATTTATGTATAACTGCCATGGGAAATTTGTTCTCTTTTTATAATGAACAGTGTGAGATAGCAGAGAATGCTTAAAAGACTTAGTAGAAAATGTTGGAGGCAGAAGCATAATTTTTTGTTAGGTAGTCTCTAGAGTAGGACCAAAGCCAAAGTTCTCACTATGTAGATTCTATATTGTTTTAAAAAATATGGTAGATTTGACTGGAAACATGTATAAATGATAAATGCTAGCAGATGTGTTTGTGTAGAGTCAAATCTAGAGTTCTCCAGTGAACATTCAGATGAATACAGACTTATGAATGTATTTGTCCATTAATATAAAGAGACAGTTTTTGTTTACTTTCTTGGTTTGGAGCTTTTTAAAACAATAACTATGATATATTGCATGAAAAATGGAAGTTGTTGTTGATGGTAGCAGAACCTTGCAAGCATCCAGGATTTGGAAGGTGTTCCAGCAAAGAGTACATTTTCTATCAGTTACTTTTACTTTCAGTCCCCCAACCTGCAGCTATTTCATTTAGTGTTATTCCTGCATACGTCCACACAGAAACACAAGATTTTTAATCTGCATTGTCAGTTCTTGGAATTTATTTGTAGCAACTGCTTCTGATTCCGTCTTTATTATTCATTACTATTAATTGTAGTGCTTTTTGGGAAGCTGAAAACAAACTAGAGAAATTGTTTCCTAGAAGAAAGAGAAACCAACTGCAGCTAGATGTAATTTTTTCAAATATAAAAAAATGTTAAGGAGTTGTTCATTAATTAGTTAATGTTCATTAATTTTATGGTAACCATTTGTTAAAGCCTAACTAACTCTTGTAGAGCTTGTCATGATATCAGTATGAAATAAGAATGCATTCATTTGCTATAGCTATGTAGGAAATGCCCAGTTAGCCATGCTTTAGATGGTTTGTTGGGAGACAAATGAAGTAGGGGGAAAATATGACAGAGGTACTGGGCCTTGGGCTTTACAAATCCTCATTGCAATGCAGGTATGGAATTGCAAGAGGCACAGTGTTTTTCAGAGACATGTGTCTTTCTGGATAGAAATAGATTGCTCTGCTAGTGCTCCAAGCTGGGCAGGTGCAAGACAGCTCAGTTCTTACGGCCACAGTAGGGTGATGTTCTCAAGCTGCCATTTTCTTCTAAGCATAGGTTATTAGCTCAGGTACAGATCTTGCGATAACCATGGCTACACAGCAGGTGAACTAGAGATGTCTTTCGTCCCATCAGTTCAGACTGCAGGCAGAGGAGTTTATGCCTCCCTGTGTGGCTCTGTTTTGCTGGAGTGGTGCCTGTCGTGTCAGTCAGTCTGTTTTGTATGCTGCATGGAAATGGAAGAAGGCAGTAGGGTCTGGGGGACTGGGCACTGGAGCTGGGAGGAGGAATCTGAATTCTGTTCCTGATTTTGATACTCACCTGCTGTGGGACCACAGGGAAGTAATTACACTTTTCTGCTTACTCTTACAACCTTTGCCTGCCCTATCTATGCACATATTAGCTCTCTATACATCTCTGAGTGGTCAGGCTGAACAGAAATCATGAGGGTAGCTGGAAATTTCACAATAAAAGCTGCTTAAAAAAAAAAAAAAAAAGCCAAACAACCCCTCTCCCCAAACCCAGAAACTGGAAAGCTGTGAAAAGAACTGGTAAGGGATAATCCCATCCCAGTCCCCTTGATCACCAGTATCAGCTTGCCCACTATATCTCTGATAAAAATTCAGTGTCTCTCCTTTCTCTCTTTAAGACCCTTTCCCTGCCATTTAACCACAACCACTTATTTCCAGTCTTTCTCCTATAACTCACAAAGTCTCAGATTCCCCAGGTTCTCTCTCTCATCTTCATCCTGTGGTTTGTTTGTGGGGGTTTTTTGTTTGTTTGTTTGGGGTTGATTGTTTTTTTTTTTTTTTTAATGTGTGAGTGTCTTGTAGTAGTGGCTGTTTTGCTGTCTTCTGATTCCCAAGTCCCAGTCTTGTCCTTCTGCCTCCCACTCCCTCTCTCCCTGCACCTTTCCAACTCTTCATGAGTGTCCAATCGACTGTCTGGATTTCAAGTCTTTTCCAGTTCATTTCCCCCTTTATTCTACTCCCAAGTACATTATCCCTACTTCTTAGTTACAGCTTCTCTCTCCTGCAAAATTTGTCTTTTCCCCTGATTCTTCTACCGTCTCCTACAAATCTGTCAGCTTCTTTGGTCTGTTGTGTTCCTTTTCTTGTTTCCAAGCCTTGGCTCTTCATTTTTGCATCTGGACTGAGAGCAGTGGAGGATCACTCATTGTGCTAGGAAACAACAACTATATCACTGTGAGCACTAAAGAAAAGGTTGCTGGTTCTAATGCCTAGCCTCAGCTTTATCTAGACCTGCATAGAGCAACACTTGCAGGACTAGTTAGGCTTTGCCTTCTGGCCTGGAGTTGGAACACAATCTGTCAGCTGGAGAAAAC